CTATGTGGGTGTGTGTTGCAGAGCTGCATGTGGGTGTGTGTTGTAGAGCTGTGTGTGGGTGTGTGTTGTAAAGCTGTATGTGGGTGTGTGTTGTAGAGCTGTGTTTGGGTGTGTGTTGTAGAGCTGTATGTGGGTGTGTCTTGTGGAGCTGTATGTAGGTGTGTGTTGTAGAGCTCTATGTGGGTGTGTGTTGTAGAGCTATGTGTGGGTGTGTGTTGTAGAGCTGTGTGTGGGTGTGTGTTGTAGAGCTGTGTGTGGGTGTGTGTTTGTAGAGCTGTATGTGGGTGTGTGTTGTAGAGCTGTGTGTGGGTGTGTGTTGTAGAGCTGTGTTTGGGTGTGTGTTGTAGAGCTGTATGTGGGTGTGTGTTGTTGAGCTGTATGTGGGTGTGTGTTGTAGAGCTGTATGTGGGTGTGTGTTGTAGAGCTGTGTGTGGGTGTGTGTTGTAGAGCTGTATGTGGGTGTGTATTGTGGAGCTGTATGTGGGTGTGTGTTGTAGAGCTGCATGTGGGTGTGTTGTAGAGTTCTATGTGGGTGTGTGTTGCAGAGCTGCATGTGGGTGTGTGTTGTAGAGCTGTATGTGGGTGTGTCTTGTAGAGGTGTATGTGGGTGTGTGTTGTAGAGGTGTATGTGGGTGTGTTGTAGAGCTGCATGTGGGTGTGTTGTAGAGCTCTATGTGGGTGTGTGTTGTAGAGCTCTATGTGGGTGTGTCTTGTAGAGCTGTATGTGGTGTGTCTTGTAGAGCTGTATGTGTGTGTGTGTTGTAGAGCTGTATGTGTGTGTGTTGTAGAGCTGTATGTGGTGTGTCTTGTAGAGCTGTATGTGGGTGTGTGTTGTAGAGCTCTGTGTGGGTGTGTGTTGTGGAGCTGTATGTGGGTGTGTGTTGTAGAGCTCTGTGTGGGTGTGTGTTGTAGAGCTGTGTGTGGGTGTGTGTTGTAGAGCTGTATGTGTGTGTGTGTTGTAGAGCTGTGTGTGGGTGTGTGTTGTGGAGCTTTATGTGGGTGTGTGTTGTAGAGCTGTATGTGGGTGTGTTGTAGAGCTGTATGTGGGTGGGTGTTGTAGAGCTGCATGTTGGTGGGTGTTGTAGAGCTGTATGTGGGTGTGTGTTGTGGAGCTGTATGTGGGTGTGTGTTGTAGAGCTGTATGTGGGTGTGTGTTGTAGAGCTGTATGTTGGTGGGTGTTGTAGAGCTGTATGTGGGTGTGTGTTGTGGAGCTGTATGTGGGTGTGTGTTGTAGAGCTGTATGTGGGTGTGTGTTGTAGAGCTGTATGTTGGTGGGTGTTGTAGAGCTGTATGTGGGTGTGTGTTGTGGAGCTGTATGTTGGTGGGTGTTGTAGAGCTGTATGTGGGTGTGTGTTGTGGAGCTGTATGTGGGTGTGTGTTGTAGAGCTGTATGTGGGTGTGTGTTGTAGAGCTGAATGTGGGTGTGTGTTGTAGAGCTGTATGTGGGTGTGTGTTGTAGAGCTGTATGTGGGTGTGTCTTGTGGAGCTGTATGTGGGTGTGTGTTGTAGAGGTGTATGTGGGTATGTGTTGTAGAGCTCTATATGGGTGTAGAGCTGTATGTGGGTGTGTCTTGTGGAGTTGTATGTGGGTGTGTGTTGTAGAGCTGTATGTGGGTGTGTCTTGTGGAGTTGTATATGGGTATGTGTTGTAGAGCTGTATGTGTGTGTGTGTTGTAGAGCTGTATGTGGGTGTGTGTTGTAGAGCTGTATGTGGGTGTGTGTTGTAGAGCTGTATGTGGGTGTGTCTTGTAGAGCTGTATGTGGGTGTGTGTTGTAGAGCTGTATGTGGTTGTGTCTTGTAGTATATAGACTATACCTCTACTACTGCCTCCTGTTTTCTATTTCCCCGCTAATTTGTGCTCGAATTTTAACGTTCCCAGATGAGTAATTGTTGACAATTCCATTGCGGTGTTCTTCGCAGAAGTGGAAATGCAGGCTAGATTTTTTTCTCTTGAAATTTCATTAATAACCTTAATTACTGAGGTTGCTAAAGAATTCTCCACTTGGTGGTACAACAGGGCACACATTTCCAAACAATAACAGATTGTACCATGGCTTAATGATTCTTGGAACATTATTGACTTGTGTCTGATGGCTGGTGAGTTTGTATAGCCAAGCTGGCGGGCAGCCTAGAGGACGCCAGGTTCTTGTAAACGTTGCTTTGATTGTTTCAGTCAGACTGTCAGCTGGAGGGAAGTTGAAGGAGGTGCTGTACGTATCTTAAGGGGCTCTCAGCTGACTTTGTGGAAGTGAATAGTACCATGGAATCTTGAGACATATGTGTATCAAATACATGACAATTATATTTTCCATGTGTCTTTATTACCTCTCTCTTGGCTGGAACTTGAGTGCCCTAGACGACATGTGTTATGTGTACCCAGGTATCCACGTACCCTGGTACCCCAGGTATCCACATACACTGGTACCCCAGGTATCCACGTACCCAGGTACCCCAGGTATCCACGTACCCAGGTACCCAGGTATTTACTGCCACCAAGAGGCTTCATTCTCTCCTGCCCTCCTTGATGATGCTTGATGACAGGTATTGCCCATCTGTGAAGGAGGGCATGACCCCCATGACACTATATGTGAGTGGTCAGCTGGGTTACGTGGGAGGGGTGTAGGCTGTGTTCTGTATTGGTGGAAGGTGGGAGGGTATACCATAGGAGAGGTGATGGAAGGGAAATGGGTGGAGAGGGAGATGTGGTACATGTGGGGGGGGGGGGGGGGGCAAGTGGAGTACCACACATGGAGCTGCATATAATTCATATAATAAGCATATAATTCTGGAGAAACGACTATGTCTCTTAGTCAGTTATATCTGCTAGACAAGACAATCAGTGGTCACACCCAGGTTAATGTTCTCCTCTCTCCTCTCTCTTTTTCCCCCCTCTATCAAAACAACTGCCATATCTTCCCCTCCCATCTCTCTTTTCCTTTCTCCCCTCATCTCCCCTCTCTTCTTCCCTCTCACCCAGCATCGCTCACTCCTTCACTCCATCTCCCGTGTATCTCTCTCAGATGAGTCCCAGCTACTTGTCTATTTCCGTCATCACTGTCTTCCTCTCTTCCCCCTCTCCCTTCTCTCTCTCATTCCCTTTCCCCTCAACATCTTGCCTCTCCTCTCTCCATGACTCTCCCCTCACTCCCACTCCCTCTCTCTTTTTCATTAAATGTAATTTTCACTCATTGCTACTAGCGAAGAAATCTAGGCCAGCGATCTTTCGTCGATTTTGTGTAGGGGAGGTTATCTTGAGGTTATCTTGAGATGATTTCGGGGCTTTTTACTGTCCCCGCGGCCCGGTCCTCGACCAGGCCTCCACCCCCAGGAAGCAGCCCGTGACAGCTGACTAACACCTAGGTACCTATTTTACTGCTGGGTAACAGGGGCATAGGGTGAAAGAAACTGCCCATTGTTTCTCGCCGGCGCCTGGGATCGAACCCAGGACCACAGGATCACAAGTCCAGCGTGCTGTCCGCTCGGCCGACCGGCTTCTAGGGGGCTTCAATTCGGATCAATTCCGAGGGGCTTCATTTCGGATCGAACCCCCTCTTAATGGGACCGACCGTGAACGGCCTATGTCCGTCCCGTGTTCCTGGCCATTCACCCTGCAAAGTTGTGACACTAGCCCCAAACGTCTGACCTCCAAGATTGGACAGACAGACAAGCAGACACTCTGTCTAATACATACTGATAGACTATTGAGGTGGTGGTTCCTAGCACGCCTAAACTTTAATCTGGAGAAGACACAGAAGCCACACATCTGAAAATAAAACAAATGAGGACATTTTGTTCCGTACAGAACCATTGAAATTGGTCTGGAACCGACCGAAGAGTCATCACTTCCCTTGCCTAACCCACTTCCAATATGTGTGCGGTGAGGTGTCAAATTTTCTGCCACATTATTGCGACTTACTGTTTGCATCTGAATGTATAACTCAGTGTAAGAGAAGCTCAGGACTGAGGTACTCCAGGTACTTCACCTGGCCTGGTGTACCTCAGTTTCCAGGTACTCCCAGGCTGTATCTGGAACTCACAACCAACCAGTAGACTCACCTGCTTCAGACTCCCACAACTGTTAATACGTGTTAACTTGAGATGGACGTTAGAGCGACGGTCTCGAGTCTTGCAAGTCCGCGTTCAATCCCCCGACTGTCCAAGTGGTTGGACACCATTCCTATCCTCCGTTCTATCCTAAATCCTTATCCTCATATCCCTTCCAAGTCCTATATAGTCGTAATTGTTTGGTGCTGTCTCGTGATAATTACCTTACCAGAAGGGGCACAACATAGGACCTGTTAATACCGTTGTTAGTAGCAGAATGGTGTAATTAAACTTGATGAATTAGATATGTACAAGTTTGCTAACACAGACAGTATATTAAATAAAACAGAAAAGGAAATTAGTGAACCTCTCAAATAAATGGCAATAGTAAAGGGCAATTAAGTAATAATCGCTGTATTACTTTGTAAATCAGTGTCTTTGCCACATATTATTCTGTATCATTGGTTTATATGAATACTGATTATCACATCTGTGAATATGTGCAATATATCTCCTTTATCAGTAAGTATTACATGATTAAATTAATCCAATTAAAGTGGAACCAAATTGAAAAGCAAATTACCAAGTTAACAAGGAATTAAATCTCTGTAATTACCTATTACCTATTTACAAATATACTTCATTATGAGTTCGACTTCGGCCTTAAAGCAGAAATACTCAACCGAAATAGGAATACACAAAGGCAGAAATCTCATGTATGAACATTTATGTAAACACACTTCACTTATTGACACATACTTCAAGATAACAAGACCAACGCCTGTGGACGTTATCATGCAGATGTGTCGAGTAAGATCACTCTCTTCTTCTTTTACTTCTTCTTCTTCTTGATAGTAGGTGCAGCTTGCATGAAGAGCAAAGATCACTCTCAATAGACTCGTGAGCCTTCACTAAATCTTCATCAAAATGTATTAAACACTTCGAGAAATAAGAATGAATCGCATGCAGCAGTTGGTGGTCGCTGCTCTCAAGTGTGAGAATGGCAGAGGAGCAGGAGTAACAGACACTTAGCTTATATAGCTTATAAGCTAAGAAGATATATCACTGAGGTGATATATCTTGTTTTTATATTGAATATTCACAGGACCATCTTAAGAGCAGTGTAGGCCCTGGGCGAGTCAGTGCACTGGGGTGCCTACCCAGATGAGGGATCCGTCTTTCCTTCCTTAGAGTTCAGGATTACCATCAGATAACTATGCAAACATTATTTATATTATAGAGTTAATTATAAAAGGAATTCGAATCCTTGGTTTTTCCAACGTGAGGTCGTGTAATTGTCCAATCTGCCAATAGTGAACAACTGAACAATATGACAGCTTGGGGTCCCTAGATAATTGCCCATATCGAGGTCCGCTGTGTGTCTATCTTCTGGTTTAGACAAACATTAGCGTCGTATAATAACGATAACGTTGACAATAGTTGATTGGGATAAATGATATGGTTTGTCATATCATTTGTCCTAATTATCCCAGTCACAAGAGCATGAGCATTTGTTTTCATGTTCACATAGTTGCAATCCTGACATGGATAAGGTAGTCTGCCAGATGTTCTGGGGTCTCATCGCACCTCTGCAAATGTGCTTGCAGATGTGCGAACCTTACAGAGGTTAGCATTTGGAATAAGCCAGAAGAATGTCAGGGCATTATGCTTCACCGCGCCCTTGTATTGATGCGGTGTTTTTTTGTGTTTACCTTGCAATTTGATAATATTTTTTATAACTTTGAGAAGACTCAAAAATATAAACAAAATTCGGCCTTTCGTGGCATGAAAACAAGAACCTCTTCCACTCCTTCTTCCCATTCTCGTTCCTGTTGTGACCAGAACTTCCCATAAAGTTCTCACTCCAGTGAGAACTTTGTGTTTAAGTTAAATTAAAGCCCTGTAGAGCAGTACAAACTGGAGCATCCTGGTTGGAAGGAGACAATATGTCCAGGATGTTGGTAAGATTGTTCTCTCCACTTGTCCCGTGAGGGACTTCTTAGTTGCTCTTAAGCCAGTCTCGTCTTGCCCATCACTATTCTCTATACCACATTACTGCTCAACTATATCACCTTAAACTCTCTGAGATTCAAGCTAAGGAACAGTCTCACTCCATACACCAACAACCTTAGATAAGGTTAACGTAATGTCATTTTGTTCAGAATTTGTTTCATTTCATTCGTAGAGTAATCCTTAGACGTCTTTGAATTACCATAATGCAAGAATGAATGTGCCATATGCATTACTATTCAGAGCTTCTTGCAGACACCTCCAATAGTCTCAGGGTGTTATGTATCCATGTTATTTTGAGTTTATTATACTTATTGAGAAAATTTTTTTTCAAGTAATGCTCAGAAAAGTATCACTATCACTGAAGAATTGACTAATGCCCAGCCTCGCTGTTCTTCTCATTATCCGATCAATAGCCATCTACCTAACAGTCACAATGTCACAGTCTCTTATCTTAATCTTATTGATTGCCACATCAATCCCCACCGCCTGACCTTGAGACAAGGCTTTACAATAATATATATATATATATATATATATATATATATATATATATATATATATATATATATATATATATATATATATATATATATGCGAACAAGCCTGAATGGTCCCCAGGACAATATGCAACTGATATATATATATATATATATATATATATATATATATATATATATATATATATATATATATATATATATATATATATATATATATATATATATATATATATATATATATATTATATATTATATTTTTGAATTGGTGCCCCAATTCACACTGAATACAAGTGTATTTGCAACAGGGTGGAAGCAGACCAATACGGACTGCATGGGTTGCATTGCGGAAGCACAAAGGGCTGGCATGCAAGACACAACGAGGTCAATGACATCATCAAGAGAAGCCTCGTCTCAGCTGGGTGCCCAGCGGAGAGAGAACCTCGCATCCTAGGGGTCCAAAACCCGGATTTCCCAGCACTTCGCCCTGATGGCATCACCATATACTCATGGAAGGAGGGTAGACAGTTGGTGTGGGACTACACATGTGTATCCACCCTGGCTGACACCTATGTACACTTCGGAGCTGATCAAGCAGGTGGGGCGGCCAACCACAGGGAAACAGCAAAATCACTCAAGTACAGGCGACTGGAAGGTCAATACCTCTTTGTTCCCATAGCGTCTGAGACGCATGGCCCCTGGGGCAAGAGTGCCTTGGGATTTCTCAAGGAATTGGGGTCCAAGCTCATTGACGTCACCAGAGACCCAAGGCCTTCCAGTTTTTTATTTCAGCGTCTCAGTGTGGCGATCCAGAGGGGAAATGCTTGCTGCGTCCTCGGTTCCTGTCCAGAAGCGGAGGAGCTTCAAGAGATCCATAACCTTTAGGCATTTGTCTTGTATGTTTTGTAACCTTTAAATACACAATAAAGGAAAAAAAAAAAAAGGAAGGGGGTGGTAGGAGAAAAGCACACAGAAACTGTATTGGAGGGGACCTACATTCCCTCCAATGCGTTATGTGTGGTTTCCTCCGAGGCTATGGGTCCCCCTTCTTCCAGCCAGAGGTGGTACTCCCTTCCCTATATTCGAAAAAAAAAAAAAAAAAAAAAAAAAAAAAAAAAATATATATATATATATATATATATATATATATATATATATATATATATATATATATATATATATATATATATATATATATATATATATATATATATATATATATATATATACACACATATATACTCAGCTAATGCGCAATGGCTCGAGTGGTGTGCCAAGCTAAATCAGCATACATCCTTGGGCGACATCTGGAGGCAGATCAACAAGGACAAAGGAAAGTCGCCTCCTGCTCCTTCGCACCATGTTCATCAAGAGCAAGAAGCAGAATGGTTATCAAATTTATTTGCTTCAAGAGCCAGTTCAAACTCAACTTCCTCAAGCAACTCTGACTCACCAACAAAGACTTCAAGCATCAAGATGGAAAAAAAAATCGACGATGCTTTAGCCTTACCTGACGAGCTAGACCAACCTTTCAATCTGAATGAACTCAGAAGCGCTACAAAGTAAACTAAAAAAAAGCTCCAGTTGAGGAGAAAATCACTTACAATATGCTGGCCAAGAAATAAGAAGAAAAGGGGTGAAGAGTTACAGCATGCTGCCCAAGAAAGAAGAAAAAGAAGAAAAGGGTGAAGAAGCCTTCTTGAATCTCATCAACAGAGTATAGGTGACAAGACCTCGACCACTCTCTTGAAACAGTGCAATTATAGTTCCCATTCCAAAACCTAAAGACCCAGAAAATCCAAGACCCATCTCATTAACAAGCTGTCTGGCCAAAACTGCAGAAAGAATGGCTCTTAATCGAATTGAATGGAAAGCCAATCCACTACACCAAAATATGTTTGCTTACAGAAAAGGTGTTGGAACCACAGAATGCCTTACCTCCCTCCTGGATCAAATCAATGACAAACCTGGAATCCTTATTTTTCTGGACCTAGAAAAAGCCTTCGAGCTAGTCAGTTCTCCAGCTACACTGTGCTGCCTTGTGGATAAGGAAATCAAAGGACACGCTCTTGACTTTGTCAAAGGAAGTCTGCTTAACCGAGAAGCTAAAGTCAGATTCCAAGGAAAAACATCGACCTCAAAGAGGCTGGAAAATGGAACTCCGCAGGGAGGAATACTAAGCCCCTTCCTCTTCAACTGTCTCATGGAACAATTCATGAAGCTCAAGTTACCAAAAGCCAAACTGCTTAACTATGCAGACGACTTTGTGGTCATCACCAATGTAAAGGCGCCAGGAACCACGCACAAGAAATTAAGTGAGCTACCTCTTTTCAATACCTTGGAGTCATAATAGACAGCCAGTTGAAATTCACTCAAGAAATTGAGTATCTTCGGCGACGTTGTAAAACTAGAAACTCAGTTTTGCGCTCCCTGACAATTCTTAGAGAGGGTGCATCTCTACCAGTACTCAAAATGTACTACGTTCAAACACTCAGGTCAGTCATTGACTATGCTGCTCCTGCTCTTACATCCCTCAGTGATAACCAATGGGAGAAACTGGAAGTGTCTCAAAATGATGCCCTCAGAACAATGCTGGGAGCACCTATATGGACGCGTCGAGAGAATCTAAGAATGGAAACCAACTTACCAGCATTAGAAAACAGGATGAAACAAAGAACAGCCACCACAACAGCAAAACTTGTTGGAACCACCGCCAGACTGTCAGTCGAAGACAGCATTCACAGATCACTCCACAGAAACCTTCAATATAGAACAAGTGCATGGACGGATAATTTGGTCACGATTCTAGAAAAATGGACTTGAAACTGACCATTAAAAACAAAAGGGAATATAGACCATATCAACACTTTCAGCAGCCTCCTCCCTGGGAATAATCGAGTCTAAAGATAATCATTGAAGGATTACAAGTTAAAAAAATCAGCATGTAACTCGCAGAGGCTCAAGGAAGTAATAGAAGAACAAATGGATACCATCTCAAGACCTACAGCGACTCACATCTTCACAGACGGATCAGTTGATTAAGAGGTTCTACTGGGGCAGCAGTTTACACTACCAACCATGAAGCTTACTGGAACATGAATAGTGGGTGTTCAACATTGCTAACAGAATTATATGCCCTGAAGGAGGCCCTAAACTATACAATTGAGAATAATTTATATGATTATTATAAATCATATAAATTATTTATATAATTTATATGATTTACCGACTCTAAATCATACCGAATCTAAATCTTCGCTTCAGGCACTGTTATCCAGCCAGCACAGAGATAATATACAACTCATCACATAAATCCTACATATAGGAAAAGAAGCACACAATCTAGGCCTGTTAATCACTCTAAATTGGATGTCAAGTCACATTAGCATAGATGGTAATGAAATGGCAGACTCACTAGCAAAAACTGCCACTGCTCTACCTGTTGTACAGGTTAGAATACCTCCAAGTTTTTCACAGGTTAAGG